AGTCAGCCCAGTGCCAGAGTCTCGTCTTAAAGAACAGTTCTTTGGAGCTACTTCTGCCAATACCTCCTTTGGAGATGAACTTTCCTCAGGTGAGAGAGAAGTTTGCTTTATTTCATTTATAAATCTTTCTGAACAAGCCACCTGTATTACTTTTTCTGTCTGAAATTCTAGAGATGTTGCTAAAGGCATGATGATGATGCTAAAGTTTTCTAACTTTTTTTAAAAGGGTCATATCTACAATGAGTGTCTAAGGATTATTAATGTGGCACATGCACAAGAAGCATAATATTAAATGGAAACACCGTGTTTTTCTGACCAGCACAACAATTCACATAAGCTGATTTAATGCACGTTTTTCTCTAGTTTTGTCAATATCATTAATATAATGTTTATATAATTATTCTTTCTCTTTTTACATGTTTATAGCTCCTATGACATTGGGGCTTTCTCTGTCTGCTCCATCTGGAATTCTCCAGCAGGCTTTCAGTAAAATGAAGGGGGCTCACATAGAAAGAAGCAGCACCCTTGATCTCCCTGCTGCTGAGGAAGAACCAGCCACTGTCCCATCCACCAATGCTGGAGTCAAACTCCCAAACTCCAACATTATCCTCACTCCTCCAGACGCTGTAGCTTCCACCACTAGCGTTACTTTTCCAGGTTTGTCTCCCACACCTACTGCAACATCCTCGCCACCTCCCTCAACTGGAAGGGTTTCCCCTCCACCTGTGTCTACTCAGTCCCAAACTCCAGCTCCTGTTACCAGTGATCCAAATCCCCCTCCTCAGTCTTCTCATGAAACATCCACTTCACAGCTTCCACCAGGTGCCACCCTCCCTGCCTCATCCTCCATTTCTTCTCCATCAGCCCAGACCTCTGTCCCTGCAGTACCTGGCCCTCAGCTCAGCAGTAATACTCCCTCTCTGTCTTCTGCTGCTGGCATTACATCCAGCAGTACTGGCACTGTCGTCACTTCAGAGCAGCAACCTGTTAATGGTGCTGTCACAGCTTCTCAGCCTACGAATCCATCCGTCCATGTGCCACAGCACACAGCCTCCCAGTGTCAGCCTGTTCCCCTTCCTACTCAGCCCCCAGTCCCAACATCATTACCCAGTCAGAGCCAGGCCCAACCGCAGCCAGTGGACTTAGAGGGAGCTGAACTCCAAACCAAGCTCGCTGGTGGAGATGACATCCAAGCCCTTGATAAGAAGCTACGGTTCCTCTTTAAAGACCAGAACTCTGTCTCCTCGGCACCACTGGATCCCAGTCAGAGCACAGGGACCTCATCTCCTCCCACTGGGACTTCTTCTCCTCCGCCTGGAGCCGCTCTGGTGCACCCATCTAACCTTCCCCTCACCTCTGGAGTGCAAGGTGTTTTGGGCCCCACAACCACCCCAGGACAGGGTATTACCCCAGTAGGACATGCCCAGACCCCTCCAACTAAGGCCAGGGCACAGGTTAGTGGGAACTGCAGCATCCATGAATAACTTTATAATGAAGGTTATTGCCACAGTCAATATTTTGACTTCCATATTTGTTATATATTTTCAGACTCTACCTACTGGTTTTGATCAAGCTGCTACACCCCCCTCTGACCTTGTACCCCTGTTTCCTGGACCAAATCAGGTGAGGTCTACAACGTTCGTGTGATACTACCTGCACTACAAGGTTCTAGGTTTACTTATGCACTACTTTTTTAAAAATTCTGTTTGTCTGACTCTACATTCACAACAGCTACATTCACAACAGCCACTGGGTAATCTGGATGCCCAGTTGAGGAGAGCTCTGAGCCCAGAAACTGTTCAGGGAGTCCAGCCTCCAGCTACAGGTTTCACTCTGGGACGTTTCCAAGTAAGGTTTAGTCACAGCTTCAAATGAATGTGGTTAATTTAGTAAAACACCGTTGGACTTCAGACATGGTTCATTAAAACTCTGTCCTTTGTGTTTATTAGGTGTCTGTTGCTACAGATGGTGCGTCCAGTGGTGTTTCAGATCCCTCCTGCATTGTATCCTCCTCTTCCCTCACACCGTCCTCCACCTCCTGTTCTACTACTTCTTCCTCCTCTTCCCCCTCAAGTCCAGAAAATACCCTCCACCGTTCATCCTCTCTTTCCAAAGGAGTTTGTGAAACTGATACTGTAAATGGAGCTTTGTCTCTCTCTGCTGGTCCTGCCAGTCAGCCCACCACTATTGGGCGCTTCCAAGTGTCTATGAGCAGCAGTGCCACAACTGGGCCAGCCACCGGCTCTAAAGTGGGACGATTTTCAGTCACAGGTGTGTACCAGGTTGATAAACTAGTTTAAAGCCCTCTTTGCACTGGACTAATATTCCACAGGTTAGTCCTATACTGTACTGAGTACCATACAGAACTGACGCCTCATGCTGTCTTATTTCACTGCTATCACTCTAGCTACACTAAGTGAACATAATATCTTTTAAATAAATGACCAGTTATCCTTTTTTTTTCCCTTGAGAAGAGGCCAAGGTGTAAGTGGGCAAATGCACTCTGAGGTGTTTTTATAGAAAGTGATTCACTCTGTGGAGGCATCTACGCCTCTGCCTCATTCATTATTTTTAAATTTGTCATATTGCAGAGACTGAAATGGGAATTATTAATGAGAGCTTCAATAGAATTTGCAAATTCACCTGAAAATCCTTTATGGTTTATTCCTGTCAAAAGATAATCCTTGGACTTGTTCAGTAAATTTGAATGGAACAAAGATTTTCTTCCTGCTGTTCACAGGACACAGATGCCGAGGATAATATTAAGGTTTTCCCATACGCTCTTGAAATAATGCCCTTGTTTTAATTCCCTTAGTGACCCCATCTCCAGTAGCAGCCTCCAGTGTACAGAATGGGCCTTCTTCTTCAATCTCTGACCCGTATAATGCACATAGCCACTACAGTAGTGACAATGACGAAGACTCAGAGACTGAGGATGAAGCTTTGCAGAAAGAAATTAGCTGTCTAAGAGAAAAGTAAGTCACATATTTATAATCCCATTTTCCACTACCCTTATTTACTCCACGAATGGTGGTTCACAGCTCCGTGGACATATTTAAACATGATTGTGATTTTTATTTATTTATTTTTTTTTACCTTTCTTCTCCCACTCACAGACATATGAAGGAAATTCAGGCCTTGCAGACTCGTCAGAAAGAAGAGATAGAGGCCCTGTTCACACGGATGGGGAAACAGCCTCCTCCTTCTGTCTTCTCTCCTGCTGTGGCCATGGCTGGAGGTCGACGTAGGCTGAAAAGCAAGAGCTACAAATCTGCTCGCAGCAGTGGACAGCTCAGTCCCATACACTCAGGTAAAGACACTGAACTGGCTTTTCAGTTTGTTTGGCATTCAAGACAAATTTAAGTCATTTTGTTGGATATTGAAAGAGTATGTTCTTGTTTGAATGTAAAACTCCTGGGCTGTGGTCATGTTTTCATAATACCCAGCCTCGGCTCAGAGCCTTCAGGGTTCAGAGGCCCCTCCAAAGCAGAGCTCCCCTCCACAGCTCACATCCTCTCCCTTCATGCCCAGCCTCACTAGTTGTACCATAGGTAAGTGCAAATGTTTCATCTCGTCACAGTGGCTGCTCGAGCTGATTTCCTGAATGCATTTTCAAGTTCACATTTCTCTGTTTTTGCTTCTCAGGATCAAGTGGGACCAGCTCCACAAGCAGTTCAGGCCTCTGCCCGAACCATTCTACTTCCCTTACCCAGGCAACTGGGCCCACTTCTCTTGCTTCTCATGCCCAGAAAGCCAAGGGCACCTTCACTGATGACCTGCACCAACTGGTGGATAACTGGGCCAGAGACATGAGCCACTCCCAGGGCAAAAGAGGTCCTAAAGCTGGAGCACAGGCTGCACTGGGACATGATGTAATTATAACTTTCTTTGAATAAAAAGCATCTTGTTATTTGAGCAACTTATGACTGCTTGGTTATATATGATACTTTATTAACTTCTTGATAATCCTGCATAGTCAGTAGTTAAGACTCTTGTTTTTTTCTTTATTACAGATTATCCCTCCAGCCAACCTGGGCCGTAAATTCTCAGCTCCAGGCTACCTCTGCCCAACACTTCCCACACCTTCTAACACGGCATCCACCACCACCACCACCACTCACCTCCCCAACCCAACCAATCCCTCTGTCCCTTTGGGACCTCGTAAAGGCTCTCTGAGTCCAGTTGCTCAGGGGTTCGGATATGCCACTGCCCCATACAGTGCTCCTCAGTGGGCAGGACCCACAGGCACATGCCAGGTCAGCATGCTTAACCCTGCACAGCCACTAACACAGTACCAGCCACCTACAACAGCCTCAGTGTCACTGTATCAAGGCTACCACATGGGAAACACATCAGCCCCCCAGAAATCAGTCAGCCCCGGAGGGTCCAACCTGAGGCCTACGTAGCCCAGTCCAGGCCGTGACTGCAGGGGGCCACACAGGGCCAAAATTTTGTTGAACAACACCCACTTAATCTCTTTGCATTTTGCTGGTAAGGGGGTTGGGTATTGTACTTTTTTTTAATTTCAATGTTTATTATTGTTATGAGTTGACGTATGTGGTTCAAGTCCTCTCAGGCAGAACCACATCTGCCTGGCAGTTAGAGGGAGAGTGCAATACACATCCCCACAACACAAGAATCCCCATACCTGGCTTGCAATTAGCTGTGGAAGTCAGCTGTGATGAGTCGGTTGGTTGTCTGCAAAAACCCAAAGGCTTAAACAACAGCATCCAAAGATCTTTTGAGAGCAGCTGTTGCAGTGGCAAGAGGGTAGGAGAGATTCTGGTTCACATCCTTACTGCTACACCCAGCATCCTTAGTGACTTTAAGCCAAGGTGTGCATGACAGCAGGTGAACTTTATAATATACCACAATAGACGTGTGCACACACCTGATTACACATGGGCCTGGTTGACAGGCTCGGGATGGTATGTTGTCTCAGTGAGCAAAGGGAGAATGTGAATGTACAGAAAGTGGGAGATGAAAGTGGGACAGTTTGTCCCAGATGGAGCAGTAAAATGTGATGGGTGGAGTTATGAAAAGAAAGCTGTAGTAAGTTAGCAGGAGTGTCACTGATAGGGTTGGAATCTGAATATGTCCCAGGGGTTACCTATTAAGTAAAATGCAATAATGGAAAAGAGTAGATAAACTGTCCCGTATAACTGTGGCCTTAATCCCTCAAACACATTTAAACTTTGACTTTGTACATATATTTCTTCACTGGGCTATGATCCCTGCTAGCAGGTTTGTCCCTGTGGTGTCAGTGTGATTTGAGTTGTCTATCCCGAGCAGATTTAGTATGCTGATGTATTCCTCACACCTGACACACAAGCCAGTGGAGCTGCTACCTTTAAAAAAAAAAAAAAGCAACATCCTGGTGTTGACCACCATCTGAAACCTGAAGTGGTGATGCTGCTGTAGTTCACAGTTTGGGTAGGGGTGTTTGCATGGTGTTAGTAGATTTTATTTTTATTTTTAAACACAAGAACGAGATCTCATGAATCCCAGGTTAATTCGTGAAACCTTTACTTATGACTGAGATATGAGCAGCTCAGAATCTGCTCATCATATGATACAAAATTGAACAGTTTGGGTTTATTAGCATAGTATTTGTGGAGGGTTTTGCAGGCAGCCTCCCCACTTCTCCCAGTTGTTTACACAGGTGGTGCACAGCACACAGATGAACAGGATTACATATAAAATATGTCCGCTCCCAACATTCAGCCGTCACTTCTCAAATCACCACTGTCTGGGGTTCTCTCTTTCTCTGGTCTGTTTTTGTATTTGTATATTTAATAAAACAAATGTTCTTTATGGACCTGTATTCAGCCATCAGATTTTGATGTTGTTTAAATGTAATTATTATTAAAGGTTGTTAAACAACATGTAGTTAAAGAAATATAAAGTGCAATTGCAGGGTTGTTGTTATTGGTGTTTAACTCACAGGAGTAGTCCTGTGCTTTATAAAGCTCCTCTATCTATTACTGCCCTGCCCCCTTTCTGTTATTGTGTGTGTGTATATATATATATATACACATATTATATTATTAATGTGAAGTAAATGTTTTCACCTAATGCTCAGTCAGCAGAGTATGCTTGTGGTGGCCCCCCTCTACATGCACATGCACTCAACTGTAAACATGAGGAACACTTTTAGTGCCTTGCATCCTCGCTAATGACAAGTTCCAGATTCATCTAGTCCTGTATCTGTGACTATACTGCAGAAAATCAGTTCATTAAACCTGTACACAATGTAAACCCAACCCAGCACGCCCAACTCGGAGGATACAACTCGGAAGCATTAGATGAGACACCACACCCAGGACTGCAGAACAAAGAGCACACTGAGTACTGTTGAATCACTTTCTCTCTAGTTACATTTGTATCGGTTGTGTAATCAGCTGTGTGTTTATATCACATGCTTTTGGCCGACATTTGTTAATGTGGATTTATCGTTGAACCACTTCATATACACACTTGTTCAGGCAGCATGTGAGCATTTTAAAGGTTTAGAAGTTGTCATGTCCTCATGCTGGCTCAGCGTTTGTCTCCCCACCTCACACGAGTGCCATGTGTCATTGTGACTCTTTCGCCTGCTTGTAGATTGGAAGAATAGTTAAACTTCTCTAGAGAAAAAAACAAGTTACTGCAATGCAGAATATGCAATGTTTAAAGTTTTATTGGGACTGAGGGGTAATGGAAACATTTGAATGCTGATGAGAGTTACTGACTTCAATGTTTTTGATATTGGAAATTAGAATTTTTTTTTTTTTTTAATTACTGTTCTTTGCCTTCCAGAGTCATCACAGTGTTCTGTTCAGTTCCAGTTCACCAATATCAGACTATCAGTATATGGTTTCTGCATGCCAGCTTCATTGGTGTTTAATCTTGCAAACAGACTTACAGCACAAGCTCCTGACAAAGCTTAAGATTCATATGTAATCAGTAATTATCACATACCTCTCGACAATTTGAGGCTAGTGAAGCCGTGATATCTGTTCAGCTTTATTTTTCTCACTGACTCCCTGTGATTGTGTTTTTGTGTAAGTTTTTCACCTTGTACAAAATGTAAAAAATAAAACTATCAGAAGCACTCATGCTTCTTTGTGTAGTTCTTGAAAAACGATCAGACTGTGCCATTTCAATTAGCTGATTTTAGTAACTGAACACAACTTAGGAGAAACAGAATTGATCAGTATTCTTTTTTTAAAGGCCCTGAAAGTGTAGTTGCTCTCTATGAGCAACACCCAAAGGTGAAGTTTAGGAATAAACCAGCCTTGTTTTATTTATCAATTGGTTTGATCATGCATGCAGTAACTTTAAATGCCAGAAAATTATGAGGTGTATGATCAAAGTTGTTTTTAACCACTGCAGAGGTTTGGATTAGGCAGATCACTGCTACACTTGTAATAAAGTAAAGCTAGGCCTCACTGATTTGTTATATTTTAATTTTTTTTAAAACCAGGTAACATTTTTCCAAATAGCAAACATAGCAGCAGTTTATTGTAAAATGAGCTTAACAAATGTATACATTGAAATAAATATAAAACTAAAGTAAAAGCATGTGGCTGGATTCGAGAAACTGTTGATGAAAATGTAAAACAGCAACATAAAATCTCAAGTGTCCAGTCGGCGTTTCTTCATGTGCTGTCCTTGTCTGTACGGACTGAGAGCTTCACCTGTAACAATTAAAAAGTAGAAATACACACATTTAAGACCACAAAATGCAAGGAGGAACAGGACAAGCAGTGTGAGAGCCCTACAGAATGACTTCCAGCAGCTACTGGTGTGCACGTTTCTGAAACAAACTATCAGAAACCGACTCCATAAAGTTGGCATGAGGGCCCAGCAGCCTCTAGTATGAGCTGTGTTCTCAGCCCAGCACATTCAGCCCTATTCTCTTCACAAATGAGAGCAGGTTCACACTGAGTGCATGTGACAGGCGTGAAAGAGTCTGGAGACGCCGTGGTGAGTGTTATGCTGCCTGTAACATCATCAAGCATGGACAGTTTGGTGGTGGGTCAGTGATGGTCTGGGGAGGCACAGCCCTCCATGTCATAGCCAACACTACTCTGACTGCTGTGAGGTACCAGGATGAAATCCTCAGAGCGACTGTCAGACCTACAGTAGGCTCTGGGTTTCTCCTGGTGCAAGACAACACCCGGTCTCATGTGGCCTGAGTGTGTAAACTGTTCCTGGATGAAGGCTTTGATGCTGCTGACTGGCCTCATGTTCCCCTGACCTAAATCCAACTGAGCACCTATGGGATGTTATGTATTGTGCATCAGATGCCACCAAGTACTACCACAGACTGTCCAGGAGCTCTCTGATGGCCTGATCCAGATCTGTCAGGACACCATCCACCAACTCATCAGGAGCACGACGTTGTCAAGAGTGCATGCAGGCACGCAGGGGCCATACACACTTCTGATTCAATTTGATAGATTCAACTGATAGATTTTAAAGTGTTTCAACTGGAATAATTTATTCATCAAGATCCGATGTGTGATTTAAGTGTTCCCTTAATTTTTTTTGAGCAGGGTAGTTTGTATACAAAATGTACTAATAGATTAATGTCTCTGCTCCTGAAACTTCACCTGCTCTGGCCTGATACCCATAGTGACTCCTGTCCTGTCCCCTGCTGTACGATGAGGCTTCAGCTGGAGGTCGGCCCGGGTCTCTCTGGGGGGTTTTACTGCGTGTCAGCATGTGGTGATTCATAGGCGTGGTGGGCCTGGACCCTCTGGAGGGCGGACCACTTGTGGGGACGTCCAGCTCCTCAATCCCATCCAGAGTGACGCCCCAGAGTTCAGGATCATCTGCAGAGGAAGACGAACAGGAACTGAGAGAGACTGAAGGGTGAAAGGTGAAGAAAAGTGTTTCCTAACCACACTGTCAAAGTATGTGGCGCCCTCTGGTGGTGGCTCGCAGCACCTGTTAAATACTCATCCCTGCTGCTTGGTTTCCTGTATCCCATCACGTCGCTGGACGCAGCTGCACCTTTATGACCTAGAGGAACAAATGCATCTTCCTAAAAACACCAGAGAAACTTGTGCTCTTATAAGTTAAATTCCTAGTAAAGAAAAACCTATGTGGTGCAAGGTAACTTGAGTCTGAGACCACTGCTTTAAATCTCTGTGCAGATTCTCAGTCATCCAGGTCATAGTAAGCTGAAAAAAAATTACTGCTTTAAATAAAATCACTTTGAATTATTACACATGAAACCCCTACCTCCACTGGATCCTTCACCAACAACGACCTCTATGTTTTCAGACTTGGCTTGATCCTGTTTCTGCTGCAGCTTCTTGGCCTCCATCTCTCTCCTGAACTTCTGCTGAAGCTGCTGCTGTCTGAGTTTTCTCAGCTGCTTGGGGTCTGTGTGCGCTTCAGACCTCACAGCATCTGCCGAGTTCATGATGGCTCTGACAAGAACACAGGGAAGAAGGCAAGTGGGTGTGATGCATGTTTGGATACTCAAGAGATGAAAAGATGTCCATGGCACTGCAAACACAAACTAGACCCAGTGCTGTTTACCCGGAGCCGGCGCTGTCGCGCTTCCCATTAGGAGCGGAGCCAGCATCAGGAGTGTGAATTGCACAAGTCTGGTCGAGGGCTTGAGGCTCCAACTTTATCCTGGTAGGACCCACCACAGACGCGTGCTTTTCCTCTGGGAGCAGACTGGAGAATCGAGCCTTCTCCACAGATGGCTCACCCACAGAGCGCTTAGTCTGGGCTGGGTCCAAAGGAGGAGGAGGCTTTGTGTAGAGGAGCAGTGACAAGATTCATCTTCCAAATCAAATAAAAATATGACATTCTAAGAGTTTCTATAAAGTATATACGCTGTCTCTGACCTGTCTGGGGATCTTGTTGATGGCTAGGAGGTATTCTTTATCCAGGATGCAGTTTCCAAGAGCATTACCAAAGCATCTTTAAAAAAAGCTTTTGATCAGTCTTCTTACAACAAAACATATTTTATAAAAGTTTTGTTCTAAATAAAATTTTCTTCATATAATAAGTATAAAATTCCAGTACTTCAGTGCTCTCTTCATGCCATCAGTGACGGCTTCCTTTCTCGCCTTTTCCAGTGACAGAGCTTTAGACTTCAGTCCCTCGCTGACTCCATAGCCTACGTCCTCATGAAATGACCCATCCTGGGAGAAAATTCATGAGGACAACACACAGCAAAGAGTAAATACAATTTCAAGTGAAAGTGATCTTGATCAGATGACCAGTTGTGAAAAATATTACTGAACTTAAAAGAATACAGTAATGTAGTTCTGGTATTCATCTAACCTTCAGCTGCACTTTGACAAACGCGCTGACTCCGACATAAAACTTGCCATTGATAAGGTCTACAAAATCTGTAAAACACAAAGTATTCTGTTAGTCTAACTGCGTGGCTCTGGAACTGAGGATCCCCTGGCAACAAGACACTCTGTAGGTCATACCAACATTCTGCTGGGAGATGGAGTGAGACCACCCGTTGTATCCAAACATCTCATTAGCCAAGCTGATGACCCGATGCCCTTCAACGTAGCACACCTGTTGAGATCAGAGAGGCAGTGGTGCTAGCAGAGTTACATCCAAGTGATCACACGCAGCTTCTGGTGTTGAAATTAGAATATTCAGGGTAAGATTTACTCCATATTGCAACAAAATCTTCATTCCTGCATGATTTTGCTCATGGATTGGAATCATTTGCATAAGCCCATCTGATGTATAGACACTTTAATTGTTTGTACCATTTCTACAATTCACTCAAATGTTTACTTCACAGTTAAAGACAAACGCAGTCGGGGAGATTAACAAAGACTTGCCTTCTGTCCTCCTCCAGCCAGTCTGGTACTGATGTACTCTGGTCCCAGCCTCTGTCGCAGAGCGTTGTGCACCGCCTGGTACTCCTCAGCTGTGTAGGTACACTGGTTACAGACAGGAACAAACACATTTAAAACATGTTTACATTTCATTTTGTATATATGTTTATTCTTTGTTTCATTTAGAGTTGTTTAGTTTTCAAATTCTCTAGTACTTTGAGATTTTGTTGTTATCTGTTAAAGTTACATGAAGCTAGGTGTAGACAAACGTCACAAGGAGGGAAGACTATTCAGTGACTGTTGATTTGTGCCTGCCTTCTGCTTTCTTAGGATGATTCACTCGTTTTCCTTCATACACCTGCTATTAAAGCTTTGAGAAATATGTTAGAAGATTTATGCTAAGAATTAATTTCATTTCTTTAAACTATCTATTCTATACTGTCCGCTTACTGTCCTTTGTGGACTGTAGGTGTCATAGGCCTGCAGGGTTAACAGTGCGTTATTACCACACTCACACACACACACCCCTTTGCTGTGATAAGGACTACTAAGTATAGGTATTCGGGTTAAATGAGCTGGTGTGTTGGTCAGTGTTGTGTGTCCTACCTGTCCGAAGCACCTGGGTGCGGAGGCGCCCCTCTCCTCCGTGTTGGTGGACATGTTGTCAGAGCTCTCCTCTCCCAGAGTCTAGTGATGAAACAGATGTGAGAACATGAACGTAGCAGCTAATGTAGCTAAAGGACCGCTAGTGGCAGCTCCTGAATGCTGTCTAAACTCTCTTCTATCGTTCATATGATAAACGTCCTAAAAGCTCAAATGAAGAGGTCACACAGACGAGAAGCTAGCGTTATAGGGCCGGACATCAGTGGGTCAAACTAACAATAATAATAATGGCTTCAAGTTCGCTTACTAACACTGTATTAACCCCGACTGAATGCCATCGTAAGTTAACGCTAGCAGATCCATATAAATACAAACTCACCCATGAAAATCCCCAAACGTAAGGTATGTGTTGAATTAATCAGAGAGAACCGGAACATTTGTTACATTTTAGTTAAACGAGACGATCTGAACTTCCCGCTCGGAGAACCGGAGGTGGGTCTATGCTAGTGCTGTTTCAAATCGAAGCCTGTTAGCGTGTTAGCCTGTTAGCCTGTGGCTATTGTTTATTACCATAACGTTAGCTGTATGTGCTTGCTACAGACACCGTTCAGTATCACACTTAGCTGTATGTGCTTGCTACAGACACCGTTCAGTACCACACTCATACTGTACACACGGCTTTTGATATAACCAATTGATTATTTTTAACAGTATACGATATTGTATTGGAAAATGAAGAGTATAATAAGATACTATTGCACAACATTGTGCTGGTGGCCTGTCGCTTATTAATCATATATATATAATCAGTTACTTTAAAAAAAAATCACCTTCTTACCATATACCCTTCATATAGACTTGTTTTGTACTAGACTGGAAACATGTTTATTTGTGCTGTAAAGTTGAGCAATTTAATATGGGAGGCAACGGGGATTGACTCCGTTTAGGAGCCTGCCTCATGCGGCCATTCGAGGAACTGCAGATTTTGGCACTTCCGCGTTGGTACGTCATTGTCGGCCTCGGAGGTTGCTGCTTCATTGTTGCTCCTTTTCGTCAATCCTTATGTTCTTATATTGTACAGACTACTACTTCTCAATCTTAGTCTAAGAGTCCAGATTGAGTAAAGTGTTTGTGCTGCTTTCAAGTCCTATCGCAAAACAAAAATAAACTTTTCCCCCCAATTCCTATAATTGCGTCCACTTTACATCCCAGGTGTGCCTCTCAAGTCTCTTAAATGGGTCGTCATTTGCCTTATTTGTGTCTTTTCCATATAAGAGGCTTGAGCAACACCTAGGAGAAACACACCAACGGTAAATCCAAATTCCTTTATTGGCATCCTGCGTTTACTATATCGATATGGCCATACTGGCCAAAGCGACGTGGTACGTGCAGACCTTTCTCTATTAGTGTCTGCACACCTGCCTGCCCTGTTCAACAGTGCTCACACAGTGCACCTCTAGATATGTTCTCTATTATACCTTCAGGTTATGTGCCAGTTAATGTCTCCTACACGTATCTGCGTTTTAATGCTTGAGGAATATATAACGTGTCCAAGGCACGACAAAATTCGTGCGTTGTAAGTCTTTGTGATTTCCCCTCATTTTTATTTTGACTAGGCTACCTTTAATCACATTGCGCATCCACGTAGGCTACTGATCGCAGCCGCGTCCACGAGTCCAGGTTCGCTTTGCATCTCGTCAAAACAAAGCGGGGGCGAGCCAGAGAGCGAGCGGCGGTGTATGCTTCATGAATGAGCTCCCCTCCACCGCACCGCAGGTCGGACTCTTCATCCGCCTGCACCCCGATACCCCTGTGGGTGCACAGACTGGCGGGGAACAGTAACGGAGGCGGCTGCCGATGAGCCCAGACAATACACACTTCCCACCAGTACTACATGACCGTTTCATCCCATCAGGAACAACACGACAGGATAAGCAACGGTGAGTGCAGGGTACAGTGGGCGGGCAGAGGCGCGTGATCCACGGCAACTTTGAAGCCATTAAGCTCCACTTTTTTCTCTAGGTGGTTTTAATAATAAATCCGCAGCAGTGTATGCGTGTTCATATGACATCCACGCTGTTTACAGTGCCATTGACTCATCCTTTCGTCCACACAGGTAGAAAAAAAGAGAAAAACCTCCACGTACGCATGGCTGACTGTACATTCCTCCCAGCAGGGTAAACCTGGACTGTTGATTGCTTGTCTGGCCGATTGATTGGTTATCTTATGTCGAATAAAGACGTCGGGGGCAGTACAATTGGACCTAAATATCCCAGAAAAGCATAGACTGCTAGAAATTAAAAGTGGCATCGATCAGACAGTAGTCGCCCTAAAAGACAAGGAGGAGGGGTGAACAAAAGCAGAAATGTCCAGACTGGTGTGGCATGGCATGTCGAGAAGACCGCGCGTGTGTGTGTGTGTGTTTGTGACTGAGATGTCATTTTACTCTAATCAAACCGCAGGTCAGACCTTCAGAAAACACACTGGTCATCAGTGTTATCCCCTGTCTGCAGGGTGGGAGTGAAGGAGGCTTGTGTTGTGTCTTTGTCTGAGGAGTGACAGCCCAGACTGTTGTTCTCCCCTCTGACCAGGGGGTGGTGCTTTACTATGTACAGGCTGTTTCTATGGGGAGACACCCAAATAGTCTGTAATACTGTAGGCCTACTGTCATGCTCCAAGAGAAAGGATGATGGCTACGTGGATTTACAGGAACAGTCCACATACACACACCCATTTTGTACACGCACAGACATGCATTTCCCCATTCTGAGTGCAGTTAAACTGGATCGTAGGTTGAGAAAGTGGTGTTGAAATAGTTACTGAGAGAATAAGGAAACAGAAAGCACTCAATTAATTTCATATGAAAGGCAAAACACCTTTACGGAGGTCACAGATGTCTCGCTTGATTTTCCCCTCTGCCAGTGAGCCTGTAGGTTTTACTTTAAACTGCAGTTTTTAATATTCTTTACGGAGTATCATGATGTGTGAGGGCCTTGGACGTTTTTCATTGATTCCTCACACAGTGATCACTCCGGTAGGCTGACATTTCTACTTTAACACAAGACCTAATAACCATTTTCAGATATTTTCCTTCCTTGTGTTTAGATGCTTGATGGACTCCGGCGGAGACATGCCTCCAGCAAATCCCCCCGACCCCTGTCCCTCAACTTTAGCACTTTCTCAGCCCCTCCTCCGAGCCCGGACATGGACAGCAGCAGCGAGCATCCGATCAGGAGGTAAAGCCTGGGATTCCTGGGATTAACATTTCACAACACAGAACATCCTGGAAAATGTATAAAATATTCATTAGCACTCAAAAATCCCACCATCTCACTGTGTGGATTTGAAAGCATCGTTTCTTCTTTTCCTTCAGAGTCACAGTTTTAACCAGTTACTTCAGAAGATTGTTTTCTTTTCTTTAAGTCAGTTTTTTTCATTGTATTTATCAACGCAAGTGTGAAGTACTCAGTTTGCAAATGGATAATTGCACACTCACTGCTGACTATTTGCACGCACAGCTCCCATGTAGCATACATTCTCTCTTCACTACATTGTGTTCTTCTTGTATTTTTCATTATGCTTCTTTCATTGGCTGTTTTAAAGTGCCTTATGATTTAGATTTTGTGTTACCTACGTATCTACTTCATATTTATATTCTGTGGCATTTGTGTGGACGGCAAAGTAAGAATTTCATTGCACACGTTTCCTCATTGTGCATATGACAATAAACACTTGACTTGACTTAAATTGTGGTCCTGGAGTGAATCAGGATTTAAGAGAATCATATATCTCAGAGATGCATATGTGTTAAAGGCAGTGTTGTGTGTTGTGCTACTGCAGTCCAGAACTTGGGCTAGACCTGAGTCCTGATTTTCAATGCTCATGACTCAACTTGGACATGAGCACTGATGACTTAGACTTGGACTCAAGCATCAACTGCATTTGGACTCCGAAGGTGGAGACGAGGAACTTTTTATTTTCTTGTTATAGGCCATAATATTGATATTAAAATCTGTTCCTGGCTAGAGGCAGCAGTTGATTAGCTTAGCTTAGCAGAAAGACTGAAAATAGCTAGCACAACATTTTGTGGTTTTCTAGGACTACTGAACCACTTCAGTGACTTCCTTTGCTTGACTGACAACCTCACAAGACTCCTGACGACAAGAGTCAGCTTTTGTACAGATTAAACAAACATGTAACATGCTTACTGGTGAATTTTAGAGGTAGGCAGATTTTATGACAAACAACAGATGATCGTAGCTTCATATTTACCATGCCATTATATCAATCTTTTCATCTAAACATCAGCAAGAAACCAACTATATTTGCCAAAATATCAACCACGTCCTTTAAAAACCATTAAATGTTGGGCCAGACATTACAAAATCATGTTGTATAGCCAAACTTTGTTCAAATCTACATTACATTATGTTACTTTTTTAAGGAATTAATCCTAGAATGTACAAAGATACCAATTTATATAAGTTGAAATTTGGGAAATAGTTTCAAAAAGACATGCAGACATCCAGGATATGTCCATATGGTGCAACTGTGCTGTCATAAAAACAAACATGGATTCCTGGGTCTGAACATTGTATATATTGTGTAAGAGTTTGTTTGAGCTACTCATGAAGAGATGATGTCAAACTGATATATAAGCTTAGTTGAATCTAATCTAAAGGACGTTCAAATATCCATATCATTACCAGTGTCAAAAATCTCATGTGTACATTGTACTACTTTTTACTTTGGTTGTCTTGTACCAGCTGTGTTGAAAATGGGAGGAAACCCTTCTTCATTGTCCTGTAATGTGTCACCGCTTCCTTTCCTTGTTTTTGTTGTTGTTACCACATCGGACGACATCCTCCTCACCTCCTCTCTGTACAGTGACAAGCACAGCAAATTCCCCACTGCTTCAGTCTGCTTACCCTGCAGTTCCTCTGGCATCTGTGCTCTGCATAAATATTTGTTTGCATCAATGGACATATTGTACTGGCAGAGTGGCAGAGAGGGAGGAAGTGTGCCCTGATCAGTGCGTGTGCTATTGTTTCCTTCTCCTCTGAGACCTGGGGCGGTGCTGTGACACTGTGGCCCACCTCTCGGCTTGGCTCCACCCTTTCCACTCTTAAAGTGCTGCCCTCTCTCACGGTGTATCATCCTGTCCTACTTCTCTCCTCCTCTGTCACCAGCTGCTCTTTATATTGTCATTGTGCTTTTCCTCTCTGCATTCTCTCTCTCAGGCTCGTGTCGCTTACGTTATCTCCCTTCCAGCTATTGCCTCATGTTTCTTCTCTGTGTGTCAGCTGACCTTTCTCTTCTGTCCTTGTACTTAGTGGATACTCTTGTTTCTCTTCACTTGCTTTATACTTCCCTCATGAGGACGCTGCACCGGCTGAAGTTGATGAGCTCCCCCAGCCTCAGTGAGCTGGGGAAGAGTGAGAAAAGTTCACCAGAGGACAGAGGGGAGAAGCAGAAGAGGGCAGGAGCAAATGCCACCTGGAACAGGTATACGGTAGCAAATAACATCAAGGTGTAAAATTACATAGTTTAAATGTATCAAACAGAATTAGAAACCAGTTTATATGTGTTTTTGGTGTTGCAGCATCCACAACGCTGTCATAGCAGTCTTCCAGAAGAAAGGTTTAGCAGATAACGAACTCTATGTCCTCAATGAAGGTGTCCGGTAAGTTTAAACTCAAAAACATTACAGAGAAAGCTTCGTTATTGTATACTGTTGATGTCATTTTGTGCTGTCATTAGCCTTTTTACTGTCAGTCGTGTGCTGACTAAATGAGTTCTTGTAAATGAGTTTGTTTGTGTCTGTAGTGTAGTGTAAGGCGGTGTCGTGTGCCAGAGATCTTATCTTTCCAAACCAGACCTATCCCTCCTATCACCTCAGCTCTCATTATAGCTCAGTAAATATAGTTACTTGTAGGCAAAAGCCACAAGGAGGTTGACACACAGTTCTTTACCCACACAGGAAACTCTGAATTGTCATGCAGCAAAACGAGGTGTTTAGTAGACATGCTTCACTGTTATGGTTATAGTAGCATGTAATTAAATGTAATTGAGTAGTAAATTGCAAGTTACAAACACACGCACACAGTTGCTGATAATGATTGAATACTGCCTATTTTATATTCATTCAGTTAATTATGGCTTTTGAAATGAAGCAAATGTTGATTGTTTGTTTTCCTAGACATTTGTTGAAGACTGAGCTGGGATCCTTCTTTACAGAATACCTTCAGGTAACACACCTTTGATATGAAATAAAATGGGACTTGGATTGGTTGCAGAAAATACAACTAAGCTACATAAAACCCGCTCATCCATGAGACAGGAATATTTATTGTGGCACAGCATGGTGCAGCGTTTTACAGTAGATGACTCTCAGCTCTGCGGTGATGGTATCTCCGATGTTCATAATTATTGTCTTCTCTCCACAGAACCAGCTGCTGACAAAAGGCATGGTCATCCTACGGGACAAAATAAGGTTCTACGAAGGTACGGCTGATAATATGGAATCTGAAAATGAACTCTGATTGTCTGTACCAGTGATGAGAGCTTTAAATAATTGTCCTGTGTCTTGTTCTTGTGTGATCAATTTAGGTCAGAAGTTACTCGACTCTCTGGCAGAGACGTGGGACTTCTTCTTCTGTGATGTTCTCCCAATGTTGCAGGCCATCTTTCATCCAGTTCAGGTACACAACCATCCTAAGAGTCTGCTCTGTGTGTGTGTTTGTTGCTGTGTAAAGGCTCAATTCAAACAGCTCTCCTGTTATCTGCATCCTTCCTGTGTGCAGGGTAAGGAGCCCTCTGTCCGACAGCTAGCTCTGCTGCACTTCAGGAACACCATAGTGCTGAGTGTAAAGTTAGAGGATGCTCTGTCTCGACCGCGGGCCCGTGTGCCCCCTTCTGTTACACAGATGCTGCTTATTCTACAGGTAGGCCTGCAGGCAAACTTCACTGCTTCTTTCCTCACACATTGTGTGATTGCTCCTGTTTTTAATAAGGCAAATAAGCAGCATGTTTTTGAGCTTTGCACATGGTGAGTTTTGAATGCTTTCAAGTACAGAGGGCTAAATCACATATGATAAACACCGGCTGTTTTTTTTTTTTTACCTTTGATCTAGCTCTAACCTAGTGTCTTCTATCTAGACATGAATATAAACACATACTAACCTAGTGTCTTGTATCTAGACATGAATATAAACACATTAAACTGAATGGCATAAAATCACTAAAAAGAGCTGAGATAAAAAAAAATCTAATCAATTGATTCTAGGTATTGAGAACCAGCTGAAGACAGCCACATTCAAAGGGCTCTTTGTACTGTCTGTCCTTATCAGATGGAGAGCCCAGATCCTGTCTCCAGAAACCCAGAAACCCCTTTCGTTGTGACTTTACTGCATTAGAATACACATCTTGGACTCACACCTCTTTGCAGGGACCGGAGGCTGGGCCCCACCACTAATTTGTTGAATTTCACCAAAATGGCAGGATGTAAAATTAGAGCAGGTGTTGGCTTTGGTTAAGGTATTTCTTTTTAAAATTATTAAAATCATCATTGCTTATTATTTCACTGTTTGTTTACAGGGGGTCCATGAGCCACGTGGCGTGAATGAGGAGTACCTGAGGCTGGAGTCTCTGGTTCAGAAGGTTGTCTCACCATACCTGGGCACCCATGGGCTTTACCCTGGAGATGGTGCTGAGGCCCACTGCTGTGTTCTGGGTGAGATTGTATGAACATAACCCCAAAAACTGAATAATTAATGCTGTTTGAGCCTGAGGCATAACATTTGTTAATCAACACCTTCCCTTCTTTTCCTCCTGTCTATCAGAGAAGCGTTTAGTGTGGGGCTGGCCCAAATCTGCAGATCAGTCGTCTAAAAACCCTGTGGTACGATCAAAAAGTTACAACATCCCACTGCTGCTGACCCCGGTGGCTGAGTATGACCCAGATGCCAGCTCCGTTGGCAGTGGAGGAATTCGGCGCCACTCAGCTTGTGAGATAATATCATGCTTGGAGGAACCAGGACTGGCCTATGCTGACCTGGCCCCAGGGTCCGAACTGTCTGGCACCTCCTCCAACAGGCTGAGTGTGGGCCCTCAGTTCAATGGTATGGTGCAGATTAAGATGTCTGCACATATCATCATGTTTATTACTGTAAAAAACAAACATAAATCATAATTTAATAATCCAGCACTCTGTCATTCACAGGCATTGGACAAGCGGCAGTCAGTGCCATCAACTTGCCTCTTTCGTCGCCTTCCATCATTCTCCTTCATTCCTCAGGAGAGCTTCATGGCACTGAGGCCACAACAACGGTGACTGATCTCAATAAAGGCGCATCGTCCACACCACCCAGTGAATCATCCAGCCCAGAAACCATAATTGGACCAGTGCTAGAGTCTGCAGACTCAGACTCAGACGGGATAGTTATTGATTTCCCACCTCACTCCTCAGAGGCTATGGGGTACAGCCTCGAGAGCAGGCAGAGCACTGTGTAGCTGTGGTTGCCTTAAGAACGCACGCCCCCAGTGGGTACGGTAATATTTTGGGACAAAGATTAAAGAACCCTACTGCATTTCATTAAATAGGTACAATCATCCTTTTTACTGCAGTACGACAAGTTTCCATGGCAGCTCTATTCCAAATGATTTCAATGGTGAGTGAAAACCTTGTAATTCTGAAATGTTGAGTTTGTAGCCCTCAGAAGTCGATGATCACACATGTTGATGTTGTATGTCAAAGTGTACAAATAATTGTCAGGTCAAAAAATGAGGTTGTGCTGAAGAAAATGATACCAAACATTGGCGTGTTAAACATGTTTCCATGTGGTATATAAAGGTAAAATCAAAACTATTAAAAATCGGCCAAAATAGTGAAAAATATTACAAGACTCTTGAACAAAGAAAAGCCATCATTTTCCACCAAAACACAAAGCAAATTCCAGTGGAACTGTTATTAAACCTTTACTGGATTTTCATCTTAAGGAAATTGTAGTTGTGACTTTATTCACATGAGCTCAGACATGCCAGATAAGTCTGGTTATATTCTATATTTTTCTTGTTGTCAGCCAGTCCCTTTAAACTAAACTAAATTCAACAATGAAGTGATCCTACTAAAAAGTACTGTCCATGTAACCAAAGTCTAATATATATTTTTGTCCAAAAAAACGAAGCCAGAGCATTATACTGCGAGATGTTTTATTACAAAGGACACTGTAGTTGAGTCAATCCTACATATACAGTACTGCTGCTGTGAATACTCACTTGTGCACATCGGAAAATAGTTCCCTAACAAATGCACAATCTAAACTTGTTTGTATAACATTTGATAAAAACTTGTTTAACCTATTTTTGATTGAACAACATGGGTTTGGAGCTGAGAGCTTCAGATAGGCTGGATGAGTGCTGAGAGATGGACTAATGCATTGTTGTTTTGGGATTTATTGGCAGCAAAATATGGAATATCACTAGCCTTATCCCATAAGCCACAGAGGGGCACATAGTCCCTCAGTCGAAGTTAAAACCACAAAAACTACTGAAACTGGAATTATGAGGGTTTTCACACAACAGCAGCTGTTGGCTGTTGTAGCCACCATTTACATGAAAACATGTCAGAAACTACATTTTAATTGTGTTCTAAATTTTCATGGATTTGTTTTATATTTTATGTTTACAGCTTGTTGTCTGTAGGTTGGCAGTAACACATTAATGAAGTTGGCTGCTTTCACTTTTGTACAACAGCTTATGAAACTGTGGACTGTTGAATATGTTTTTAATTTCAGAGGCACTCCTAGAGGTCTAATCCAAATTCTCCCAGTGCAACCATCAGTGTGACGGCATTTGCTTTTTTGTATTAGTTTGATATAGCAAGAGGTTGAGGAATATGCCAATGGTTATTGTTTACATTTGACAGATACATGAATATTTTGACTGTTGTCTCACACACTGTATTTTGCACCACCACTACCTTGTAAATAAAAGTGCATTGTTGGTTTTTAGGACAGCTACATAGCGTAAAGTGAGCTTTTACCTTGAATTTTTCATAAGGGCTTTTTAACTGAATTTTTTCAAAGGATGTTTTACCTCAAGAATTTTGTACTTTACTTTTCTTGCCAATCTATGATGTCTATGGGGTTGTACTTTGTATTGATTTGTCATACTAGCCCAGTAAAAAAAAATAAATTGACTAATGTTTGAAAATGTTAATTTCATTTTGTTGTAAACAACTGTTCCATTAGCAATAGAACATTTTCCCTGCTTGATATTGCCATGTGTGCGAAAAGCCACCTAGATTACTAAATTTGCTGGAAGAATGGCGCATCAGCAGACATGACTGGGTTTGTTTTTTTAAGTTTAGTCAAGCTCCATTGAGCCACTTATGATGAGAGCTGTAGCCAGGATATTACAAACACTGAGATCATGAATTCAAATCCCCTCGCTGTAGTCCGCACTTCCACCTCACCAGGTTCACCACATTTCAAAAAGAATCTGGATAAAATTTGAGGTTGAGCTTTTAAAGTTCATTCTTGACCTTGGAAATAGTAAATTATTAACACAAGGTCCACTTCCTGAATTCTTAATAGTTTTCTACTTAACAGATTCTTCAGAGCTTCCGCCGCATCCTCCAAGTAACTAAAACGAACTCAGTGTCTCCAACGATAACTACAGCCCTACTAATGGGAATGACAGCTGGTTAGAAGCAAACTTTGTTTTGAAAATATTGACCGGAAGCTGACGGAACAACAGCAGGCGCAAACAGGACGGATGTTAGCGCAAAGCTAAATGCTAACTGCACTGAGCTCGCTGTTACCGAGCTGCTTTGCTGTAAAAATTAAATCCGTTGTTTAAATGTCTCGACATTTGAATTGCTGATGAAGTTTGTTTTTCAGGCCTCGTGTTTAAGAACACAGACTGACTGTCCTGCTGAGCTTGGTAAGACACCTCTGAACAATGTTGTTACTTGGTTTCACAAGTTAGATGCAGCTAGCTAACACAATTCAAGCTAACATACAGCAAAAAAGATCCCACAGCGAAATTTACGAAGTGACTAGTGATGGGAGTCTTGGTGTATGCGAAGAATTACAGTAGGTTAAACTCTGATTTTCTGTCACGTGTTCATTAATGGCGAATCCGTCAGAGAATAGACCTGCTGTTTTGTATTTTGGTGTATGCAGATCACTCTGTGTGTCACCTTGGCTGTAGTCTTCAGCCTACTCAGTCTCTCTGGGTGTGGAAGATATAGGCTCTGCCAGTCCTCTGTAGATGAAGATGTCCTTAGCCCAACGAGTGCTCCTCTCCTGGATCTTTGCCCTGATCTTCCTCATCATGCTGGTCCTCAAGCTGGACTCCAAGATCCAATGGAACTGGTTCGTCATATTCCTTCCTGTCTGGACTTTTGACACCATCCTCATCCTGATGCTGATAGTGAAGATGGCAGGGCGCTGCAAGCCTGACTTTGACCCCAGGGAGGGCGAGCAGAGCCTGAAGAGGAGGTTGTGGTACCTGACAGCCCTGCTACTGAAGCTAGCTTTCTGCCTGACATTGTGCTCCCGTCTGGAGGGGCTCACCCACATGTGGATCAGTGTGGTGTGTGTCCCTCTGTGGGTGCTGCTGGTTGGGGCACTGGTGGAGCTGGGACACAGTGTTTTCCATTACAGGAGAGACTGAATCAAAGGACTACATTGTTTTGAACTGCAATACTGGGAACAAAATCGTTTTGCACTCAAACATCTGTAGCTAAAGATGCATCAATCCAATCTACCGGATCAGTATCAGAAACTGACCTTATTCACAGGACAATGTATCAGCAAGACATGACTGATTTGTCAGTGACATAAAATGGACAGTTTCTTCTGTAAGTTACAGCAGGTTACTGACTCTTGGGCCAAATGAGTTCTGCATGGTGTGGTCTACAGGTTTATATATGAGTAATAAGAACATTACATTGTTTTGGCATTCACAGTACTGCCTTCTGGCTTGTTTTTAGACAGCAACTGAAAAAAGAAAGGGTGAATTGGTCTAAAGGGTAGTTAGATTTTTATTATTTATAAGTGTGACTTTCTACTGCCAGGTGAGTCTGGGTTAAAGACAGAGCTATTGGCAACCTGAAGGAAACACCACATGCAGTTGTGATTCAAAATGTGCAGCCAGTTCCTTGCTACACTAAATGCTAGTCTACAGTTTGTCTCTTCACTTTATATACAGAGAGCACTCTGTGCTGCTGAGGCATGTACGGTAATACATGTTTGTGTCATCACTGCTGTAAAGTTTATCACTAGTTAAGCATGTCTGTAAAGCAGTTAGCAATTTCACAATGTCCATATGTGATAGTACACAACTACTGTATATGTCAGCACCCATATGGGGATAGGTCAGTTCAGAACTTAATCTTTATGGATTAAAAATGACCACTGGCCTGTATAGAATACTATTACATTTGTCACTTACAGTAAGCAAAGTCTCAGTTTTGGCTGTGCTGCTTAGCTTTTGTTTGAATGCAACAGGCCTTTTTCACAGCAGATATTTTGACAGGAAAACCACAGGTGTAAATAATAAAATGAGTGGCGGCTCAACACTGGGCCCCTTAAGCATAACAGCGATCATTAATATTATTAGCAACGCCTGTGCTTTGCCACTACAAAGTGTCTGCTGTAGAAAAACGCCTGTTCCAACGTGACCTGCTGCCATGAGCATTTTGACTTGCTTGTTTGTAAGGTAACATGATAGACTTAGCACATTAGCAACAAAGTCAAAGTGGAGCTCAGGCTGATGTGAAGTTTGGGAAATCACGTCACAAAATGAAGTGATCAAAAGGACATGTTGGACATTTGTAGGCACATAACTTCCCAGTGAGTTACGATGCTGGACTAACATTGTCATTTCTACCTCCGAGCTGCAGAAGTAGCTAAACAGACATTTGAAACCTTAATGACATGAACTCCAGGAGAACCATTAACACCAAGTCAGTATTTTGAACCATTTATTGAGAGGTTCTGATCAGAGTATAAATCACACTACCAAGTCTTATCTTAGGAAATAAGATGTATTTACAACAACATTTTCACATACATTAGTTTCAAATAAAAACAGACAGTAAATAATATAAATAAGTTCTATGGAAAATAAAACTTGTCTTACAAAAAATAGATGCAATTTCTGTATACATTTTCTCACATTGGTGGTAATAACATCTATACTGTACAGTTTTGGTACTTAAGGTATCATTTACAGCCCTGTGTGAGTCAAAGTCCAGTCTGAAAACAACTACTTGCTCTGATTTTGGAGTGTTACAAACAACAAACGCCTCCAACTAAAGCAACAGGGATGATTTCAGC